CCATCGATCGTCGACGTTTCGCACCCCGCGCGTAACTGGGGGGGGGCGGATTGCCGGTTCGAATCCCCTTTTTATATTATTAGAAAAGCGTTAATAGAGCCGGAGTGGAAGACAAACGCGTCTTCTAATAATTATCGTTTCGTTGGGCGCCGACTTTTCAGATCGGTTTACGCATTACCGACAGACATACATCAAAAGAAATGAAATGCAGCTGTTTTATCTGGGGATTGCCAGACGAATCGCTTTGGTAAATATATTCATAAATATCGTGAGATTTAACAGACAAATTGTTTATCAAACTGTTAAGATGCCATTTATTTTCTGCGTATTGGGCTCCGTTAAGTTATCGTTAAGTGTAATAATTAATACGTGCCGAATTAGTTGCTACGAGTTAAGCGCATTGGAAAATTTAGATATTAATATCGCCGTTTGCAAACATTTAGCTAAACGGAGCGAAGGAAATAAGTGGTAGAACTTTTACGAAAAATTATAGAATTTTCGTAAAAGTTGTGTATTTTCATGGACGTTTTCTAAGTAGATTCCTTCCTTTCTCGCTAGTAAAATAAAAACCAGCGTTTACGTACGGCAAAACCCGCGTAAACCGGAATATATGTCTCGTTTAGGCAGGTTTTACGTATAAAATTCCGTGGCTCCAAACTTTATAACCTTCAAAATTCAAATTTCTTAAATTCATTTACTCTAATTTTCCATAAAAAATATATTAAATCTTACAAAATGAATAATGTTTATGTATTCATTTTTAAGTTATTCTTTACCCGAGAGTGAAGATTATTAGAGCGCGACCGGTAGAATCTCCTCTCCCGACTACACCGAAGTTAATGGTTAAAATTTAATACGGATAAAACCTGTCCAAAACGGAGGATTAAAAAAGAACCCGCCAAAACGGTACCGCGCCGTTCCGCTTTACGCGGGTTTTCCCGTACTTTACCAAAGTAAACCCGTAAAGATGCCAACGTTTACCAACTCGTAATATACTTGTAGTAAATTAGTAGTCGACTTATTGTTTCTTCGCTACTCGGTACTAATTACCGCGGTAGACAAGGAAGGTGGGGAAATAGAGAGGATGCGGTCGACTCTCCGGCTTAGTAGGGATCCCCATGAAGTTAATTTTAACTAATTTACATTAAATTTACTTTTGTTACGTACTCGCTCCGGGGCTTTTCCAATAAACTCCGCGTTTAGCGCGTAACTAGACCGCTTCCGTTATACCAATTTCTATATCTTAAATGGACGATAAGAACGAAATTTTTATACTTTATCGTTTCGTTATACGGTAAAACCCGTATGAAGCGGACGGTACCGAATAGTTTTTCGCCTTAGCGGGTTTCCGTTTCGAACGGATTTATTTTTTAACGTAGAAAATCGCTCCGTATCGAAGAGTTTTCCCGTTTTATTCGGGTTCCGTCTCGGACGGGTTTTATCGTATTTCTTACGTCGATTTCCTTCTTTTCTAAAATTAATATTTAAAAAATTTGCCATAAATTTTCACAGCGGATGAATATAAGCGCCGGAAGCTTACGGACGAAGCCCGCTCTTCGAAAGAGCCAAGTATTTTATACGAAAGGCCAGCGACCTTTCGGATAGAATAACGTATCCGTCCGTTTAAAAACTAATTGTTTGGCAGAATTTTTTAAACGTTATCCGCCATCTTTCGAAGCGATTACTCTTCGATTTTGTACGGAAATTCTCGCTACGGTAAAACCCGCGTAAGCCGGAATGGCGCGGTACCCGACGCTTTTTCCACTTCGGCGGGTTTCGGGGTTCGTTTTCCATTCGTTTTATCAAACCGGGACTGGATTGTGTACTCGTTCCGCCAGAGCGTAATACAACAAACGGTAGAAATTACGCGACAATCCCTTTAACGTTCCGATTTAATTTACGAAAATGTGGACAGACGCGATTTTACCGGTAAAATAATTCTTTAAAATGGTAGAAAAGACCCGAGCGCCTAAAATAAATGAAAAAATAAAAAGTTTTTCTGTCCCGGAATAATTTTTTTCATTTAAAATCCGCACGAATTGTCTTGGGCCGAGAAGAAGAAGAAGAAGAAGTTGCTTATAGAAAAATTAGCTACGCATCGGCATCGAAACAAAAAGAATGAAGATCTAATCGTATGTAGAAAAATAGTTGTGAATCAGAATTTTTTTGGGAACAAAAACTAATGCCAAAATCGAGGATTCGACTAGAGCCAAAGTTTCGGATGACGGAATTTGAATAAAATAATATAATTCTAAATCAATTTTCACTTTCGGCCTTTTAAATTATATATAGGCAGTTATCGACCAAGGATAGAGTACTCCGCAAAGCGCGCATTTCCAATTAAAAATTAGTAATAATTATCTGGTTTGGCCCGCGCATTTTTATAGCGCGCGTTATACCAGGCATCTGGCCGCCATTACCACCGCGCCGGCTATGGGTAGGGGGATGTTAGATGACGTAGACGCCATCCCGGTCCGACTCTGGTGGGGCCAAATCTATCTCGGCTCTTGCGAAAGATAGCGACACCTTACAGGGTGTCAAACTTAGTACAAAGCATTTTTGTTCTAACCGAAGAACACTCGAAGGGGAGCGGATGGACGTAATCGGAACGAGTGAGGAAAACTGCCAGGTTTCTCTTCGCCGTCTTCCGCGGGGTTGCGGTGTTTTCATTAAAAACAAATGAAATCGTGCCCCGAAGTCTGTTTCTTTTACGCCTTGGGTACGCCAAGCGATGAGGGAAAGTCTCGCACGGTTTCCGCCACTCTTTTTTTTTTTTTTTTTTAAATCTTTCCGCTCAAGGTGGGCATTTAGTTGAAGTACCACTTTTATCAAATTAGTTAGCAACATATGAATCGTGATGACCGGAGGCAACGACCACGACCAGGTGCGTGGATCACGTTAACTGCTACAATGACACACATTAACTTTACTTCTTCAATCCAAAAATGTTCCTACGGCAGCGGTTTTTGGTCTTCAGATATTTCGCCTCTTCCATTTTATTTTATTATTATTTTTTTATTTTATTTTTTAAATCTCGAGGTGCCTCTAGTGGCGATTTATAGAAGTAATCGTCATAAACAACAAACGCGTGGAGCCATATTGGAAAAGAAATATATTTTAAAACGAATCCAATCGCATCGTTAATTGTCAAGCGTAGATTTAAAGTAAGGATTGCAGTTTATACTTTTTTACAGTGTCTATAAACGAAAAGGAAGTTTATAAATAATGAATAAGATTTAAATAATGAGTAGAAGGGGTGTCTCCCGTTTTCTTAATGCTGGCGTATTTCCTTTTAGATAGATGATCATGGGGAGAAGCAAAGGCATCTATTCACTTAACAGATCTTCCACAATTAATCACCGAGTATGAAAATGTCCCAGAAGACAAATTAATTCACATTAAATTTGATTGACGGTTTACATAATGATTTGTAGGTGGCCCTCACCGTCTACATATTCTAAGTATTGTATCCTTTCATTTAAATATGAAGAATAATTTAACTTTTTAATCCCCTTCGGTTTAATTTATAAATACAACTTTGCCCTGTGCTTACATTAAGCTGGGTGAGTAATCAAACTCATTATAAATTCTGAAATTTTTCCTCTGCTGAAATGATTTATTGCAGATTAATTGCCCAGCAAAATGCATTCTCTGCCCATTTACATTTAAGATTAATAATGCAATCATAAAATCTTTACAAAAATGTATTTTTTTTAATATAGTATAGGCCTACATGTAAACAGATTAATTAATAAAGGTCCTTTATTATATCTTGTTTGAATAAATATAAATATTTAATTTATGACATAAAAGGCATTCCTCTTTTAAGATGATGTATTGAAGATTAATAGTGTTTATACAGGCATCATCAAATGGCTTATAGTTTGATGCATATCAAATATATTTAACTCTGAGGCATTTTTTGAATAAGAATTGCATTTAAATGATGTGAAGAGGAAAGAGAAAGTAATGTATTAAAAGGAAGAAAAAAAATTTTTTTTTAGACTTAAAACACTTACTGTAAAAGTAGGCCATATTGGATTAATTGATGCTCACGGCTATCCTTAAATTCTTATCCGGTCGTGAAATAAGGCCTATAAATTCTGCATCATAGCCCAGGTTCTGTAGACAAATACTATATATCTAAATACCTTAAGCCGTTTTTTTCCCCTGTGTTGTTTTTCTGTGGCCTTTTATATAAATACCTTTTTAGTAAAATGACTCAAAATTGTGAAAGTTATTTATAAATTTGAAGGTGTTTTTTTTTTTTCTTTTTAAACGAGGCGTTGCTAGAAGTTACAGTTGACACAGTTGACCTTGTAAACTCTTAACTGGACAATGTATGCCCTGAGCTACTTCATCTCAGGGCTAATGCGTCTTTAATGACAGATGGCGACTTAAAGAAATGAATCGAAATTCGTTCTAACTCTATCATCCGTTTGATTGACGTCTTTCTAAACAAGATATATTAGACCCTACCACCTATTTGCTTTGTTTCTTAATTGCTACTCTTCCTCTTCTATTGTTCTAACTTAGATCAGAAATTATCTTTGGAATTTCTTTATACCACTGTTAGGCTAAATACACTGCATATAACCTCTATTTATTGTAAATAAGAAGTATATGTCATCGTTGTTGTTAATTCCAGAAAAATAATTTCTACGAAAGAAAGAAAGGAAAAAAAATTAAATAAATAAAAGTTTATATAAGAATAGTAGTAGGCCTATTCATTATAGACATGTAAAGAGATTCTCAGTAAGAGTTTTTGATTGCAATTGGAGAAGAAATCGCTCGTATATAACTTTAATTTATGCTGTTCTAAAATAGGCTTTAGAAGAAATTCGTTTTTTTTTCCTCTTCTTTTTCTTCAGAATAAGCCTTAATTTCTTCTAACCAAGCTTAGGAGAAATTAAGGTTTATTCTGTGGGGAATCGCCATGATTACTTTCATTAGAATTAAATATTTTACATGACAATTTAATGATTAATAAATACATATAAAGAGGAAATTATAAATTGGTTGGAACATTATATAATTATTTAAATAATTAATAAGTATTTTAATATATTTAATCATTTGAATAACAAAAATCTGGGGGCAAAGAAGATAAAACGCAATAAAATAGTATATAGATTTTATTGAATATAAATCAATAACAGAGTAAAATGTAAAATTTTATAGTCTTGTGTATTAGCTAATGGACAAATCTCTTTTATAGAAAACATACAATAAAGTCTTTTGTGTTCAATTCATAATGCACATAAATAGATGAATCATTGTATATATAAAGCTTATTTAAAATTAATAATTTAAGGTCAAGTATGTCATTATAAAAACCGATAGGTCCTTTAAAAAGGATATGCTTCTATAGTATTAAATTTGTTCCAGGAGAACGAAGCTTTGTATATGATTTGCCAATCTTCATGTTTTATTTATAAAAAGGGGGAATTTCTCTTAATATGAGGTCTAACAATTGACAAAAAAGGCGGATTTGACATGTGACAAGATGACATTGTTTGATGACAAGGACATAATTTTACTTGAGTGAACATGAATAAGGAAAAGGATTCGAATCTAAGAAAGTCACGCCTATTCTCTTCTCTTATCTTCGTCAAGTTGAACAGGAGCTATGATTATAACATTATCACATTAACATTTAAATATTTTCGAAAATGTTTTTTTTCTTTTTTAGCGCGGCGACTTTCGAAATAATCCAAAGATTTATTTAGGCCTCTTTCTATATCGTTACAGGCTATAGAATAAAGAATAGGTTGGGATTAATTTTGATGCCGAGAGGGTCTTATATCATGAAACGACGGGGAACACGTCATCTGGTGTGTGGATGGCCCGGAAGTGCATCATATATGACACACCTGAGGACATCAGACATCTGACCTGCACGAGAGGTCCATTATCAGCTGGTAGAGGGTCTTTCACACGACAGAGGGATCCTTTCTGGTAAGCATCTTTTATTTTTTGCTCTCTTCTATTTGAATTAAGCGATTTATTCATAAACTGTTAGTATATTTAACACAAAAACAGAGAGATTCTATTAAGAGATCAATCAATAGAAACTAAAGATTCATATTAAAGCTTAAATTCACCATTATGTTTACTATTCTATACAGTTACTAGGAAAAGCACTTTATTGGTTAAAATAATAGTTAATGTAATTATTAACCAATCAGCGTAAACATTTCGAATTTTTTTCGAAAATTAAAAAAAAATAATTGACAAATAGCAAACGATATTTTCAAAATTTCAAAAATATTCCGTCCAATCAGGTTAACGATACGAATTCAATAACGCCATTTATAGAATTAAAGGCAATTAAAGAACGGTTGCAAAAGCCCTAACATCTGTTTCCCCCGTATTTTTTCCTTCCATTATTATTATTTTAAAAGCAACAATTCCGTCGGAATCCAAAACCCGGAATTGCGAGTATCGATTCGATAATCAAGTACAAATGTAAGTGTGTGGCATATGATTGGCTATAGTGAAGGCTCCTCCCACCAAGCCGGAGGCGGTGCTACGTCACCATCTGGCACAATCGCAGGCGAGATGGAAATTCCGAGAGATTGTCCCTTTATGAAGAAGCTCTGTGACTGATGACTCACTTAGTAAATGTCATTATCTAAAGCAAAACTTTACTCTGTCCCTCGATAATGAAACCCACGTCTCTCTATTTTTCTCCCTTCTAAATTGTCTTATGCTAATGAAGGACTGTTTCTTTAAACTTTACTATTTAAGAGTCTCGCACGCTAGTAACTAAATAGCAAGTTTACTACTATAGTAGCATTTAAGTTAATAATAGTGCCCGTTGAGATTCTTTTTTTTTTCCATCCTCCCTCTCCCCCTCCTCCTCCTCTTCTCTTGATCTTCTTTTTAACTTGGAGTTAATCTTTTGTGTGGTGAGATTCTTAAAGAAGTTCTACCTTTTAATGTTTTTTTTTAGAACTGTAATTAGTCTGTAACCTCTCATTTAGCATTTTTATACAGATTTTCGGATATTTCTTAATCTATTCAGTAACATCTTTCGCATTCTAATATATTCTACGCTACAGAAATAATGATTTTGATGAATGGTCACTACATTTAAGCTTATGTTTAAAAGCTTTAACCATTTATAATCAATCATTTTATTTTACTTTTTTGGTTTTTAGATATTAAATCTGAATCCGATTGAAATTGTAATTTTAATTTTAATTTATTGTAGTAATTAATCGGTTCAGCGTCTAATTTTTATAGCTTAAACTCTTGTGTAGGCATTTAACTGTAGCTTTATTGTTAGCTTGATAAGGAATTTATAGCCAAGATGTTCAGTTTTGCTTTGATTAGTTTCCTTTACATCAATTTAAATTGTCTCTAGAATTTAAATTGCATTTATTAACTTTAAGAATTCAGTAGAGTTGAAGAAATTAGTGAGACTTATTTGAATTTTCTCAGCATTTAAATTGAACACAGGCGACCATTCAGTAGTTTCCATTCCATTCCATGTGAATTTAACCATTTCAAATTCACAGATGACCTTTCAGTTGACCATTAATTGATGAATAAATATGTAGTGTGTTAATTAAACTAAAGATATATAATCTATGTTTCGAATTTAATATATATTTATTCTTTTTAAGTAGGTCTAAACTAAAAATAATCTAAGTTAAGATGTAGGCTACATTAAATCGTATGAGTTAAATTTATTCATGACGAAAAAATAGGTCTCTATCTAAAGTTGATTGTATTATAGTAGATATATATTTTAGAGACTTCTTAATGAATTACTTAATACTTTTTTATAGTACAGTACATTAAAAGAATTTAGGCTATATTAAATCTATTTATATTGTCAAAAGTTAACTTGTCAATTAGTATATTTCAACTTCGAAAAATGACTATCATACGCCTATATTTCATTGAAAATTTTAAAGCAAAGCCTTCAGATAATTCAGTAGAATCTTTCTGTAGTCAAATTAAATAGTTTAATATGTCAAATAATAAAAAAAATAACATTTAGAAGTGCGACATAAAAAAAATAAGGGGGGAGAATCATTTCATGCGGCAATGAAAGTTTAATTTTACATGGAGAATATTTACAACTGTGACCCAATCCAGAATTTAGCTTGAGGCCATAATAACCAAAAACCATTAAAACACAGAAGCGCCCTTTATTCTGCAAAAAAAGGAGAAGAAAGATAGGTTAGAAAAAAAACAAAGCAAATCTGACAAAAGACAATTTAATCTATTTAACATGAGGTCTGGATACTTGAGGGCATATTTAAGGGCAAGCAATTTGGAAGAGTCCCTTATACATCTATTGTTCTGTACTTCCCGGAAAATTCACACGGCCATTATTTCTTCCCCTTATTCGGTATTTATTTATTTATTTATTTTTATTTTTACTTTTCTTTCTTTGCTTGTAACTTCAAAGAATTCGCTTGATGCTAAGCTGGGCAACACTTGGTGTCTGATGAATCGGTAAAGGTCGACTTAACAACGACAGTCGTGTAATTAATATGGATTTGTTACGCTCTTTAGCTCGGGCCTACCCATCTTGACCTTGTCTGAGGTTCTGATGATTTTCTTCTCTTAAGTCTTTTTGGACGGGGTCAAAGGTCGAGTTTAGATGTCACGTTTTTTTTTTCTTACCGGATTATAGATGGCTATGGTCTTGAATGTTTAATTAAATTGTGACTTTTATGTTCTGCGTGGTTGGAGGTGAACGATTTCTCTATGTACGAATGGTTTTTTTTTATTGATTAAATTTCGGTATGTCGTACAGAGACCGTTATTTAATGGCGATAAGATTTTCTGACGGCCATTTCTATGAACCTGTTCGAGTTCTAACGTTAATAAATAACGTAGAATAAATTTAAAATGATTTTTAATTAATTTAACTACGGGATCCGAATCTTTGCTTTTGTGTATCGTTTCTGCTTGTAATTTAATCCTAAATTGGGTAAATTGGTTTCAGATCTGTATCCCCGCTAAGCATTGATGCGATGAGGGAAACACTCCCAAAACGACACTTCGATAAAACACATTTTACTTAAGTTAAATCTATAATATAGTTAGGCCCTTTACATCAAGATAAACTATTCCGTTATGTCTTTCTAACAAGACGAATCTAATTGAAGTTAGGCCTTCTGTAGTTAAACTAACTTCAAAGTCTCTGTGACTTAGGCCTCTGTATTCAGTTAGAAGCAAATGCAACTAAATTAGGCCTCTGCACAAAGAATTGTATTTCTTTTATGCTAAATTTTCTTCACTATAAAAACAGATTTACATTGAGGCCCTCGGCGAGAATGAAGACATCAAGGGCCTTTTTAGTAGTTAGTTTGACAGCGGTACAGGGCTAAACATCTCGATCGCGGTCGTGAAAAGGATGTTTGACTAAAAGAAGACAAAATGATGTGTCCCTCGCGTGTTTCCAACCATTTTCTTTCTGGGTGTGTCAATTTTGATTTTCATTACTCATGCAAATAACCAATGGAGTTTTCTACTTATTTGGATGCATTAATGGGATCAAATAAAATTGTTTCAACTAAAGCTCCTCAAATGTTTGCTTAATTTAAAGAGCTCTCTTTCTAATACGTCACACCATCTTTTATTTAAAAAGGAGACAGTATTGCACCTGGATAGATCGCGAATGAAGTTCGAGGGTGGTGTGCGCGGCGGAAAGACACAATGCTCTCGAATCTAAAACAATGTACTGTACAAGGTAGTAATAAGTTAAAAGGGGCTTATCTTCCCACGTTCGTGGCTAATTCCAATTTGGATTTTTTGTCAGTAGGTGACTAATAAATAGTGCAGCTTTTATTTACAACACATCTGTTCCCATGTGTGTTGGATAGACAAAAGACAAACATCAGACATAAATATTATTTCCTCTGTCCCATTTTATGGTCTTTAGAGAGAGTGTGTATTTTTTACTCCTACAGCTGTGTTTAGTGTTTGCGTGTTGTCGCAGAGAAAGGAAGCTTCTTATTATTGTGTCAGGGCATGCAATGTTTCCACACATCACAGCACAGTATTATGTTGCTTGCTCTGGAGACAGGATGTTGTAAAGGTGGGGATCGACACCGACAAGTTGCTCTGGCCACTCCAAAAAGGACCCGGACTGGACTTTCAGTTTGTTGACATTACAAGTGAAAATCCAGACAGGTCCTTTTTAATGACAAGTCTCTACGTACGTGGCTTGACGTTAAGAGGGGGGGAAAAGGAGACGGAAACGAGAATTACTCTGGATTTGTTTACTTCTGAATCACTCAGGCTATTAGAAAGGATTATATTGTTTAATGTAAACCGGTCTAGACAAATAATCGATTGCCGTAAAGGTTAAAAGTTACATTAAAGAATTCAAATTATTTTAATTTGAAGAACAGCAGCTGGAGTTTTAAACAGTTATTTAAAATAGCCTAAATTTTTAAATAAACTTTAAACATGTCGCCTATAGTTAAGCTAGATTTAGTCCATAAAAAAATTTAATATTTCTCTCTCTACAAACCAATTGCATAGATTATCTTCGCTAGAGTAAATCAAATATTTGCAAATCGTATTAAAAAATAAATAAATAAATAAAATAAAATATTAAAGCGAATATAAGATAAAGAAAATCTCCCACTTTCTACATCATTTTGTTGTTCACCTTTTTTTTTAAAAGTAAAACAGTTTTGCAAGATAACAAAAGACAAAGATTTTTAGTCGTCGCTACACATCCCATAATGGCAGACCACACAATGCTATCTTATCCCATTATTGTTTCTACAATTGTAAATCGACCGAGGTGAAAGCTCGCTAGTTTCCAGCTTACAAATCTAACTGAGGGGATGCTAAATTATAGGGTACCGCCAGCTAGTCTAGCCCTAGGCAATGAAGGCCTTATGCATTGCTCAAACCCAGGGACGTATTGTCATTGTTGCTATAATAGCATTGTTTCGATCGGTACGGTGTAATTGCTTAAAAAATAACGCATTTCTAACGTTAAATGAGATATACGTCGCTCGAACGATGTTTTTTTTTATATGTTTAAAATTAGTTTTGAATTTTTTAAAAATGTTTGAATTTTATATATATAAATTTGTAGATTACAGTTAATAAAGCGCGTACTATTCTGTTATGTTTAGGTCTTTAACATTCCTTTATTTATCTATAAATGCATCGATTTTTATGAAAATCCACTACTATATTTATGACGGATAGACACACTGACTGTCACACTAACGGAAATCAATAAAGGAACGATATCCGTATCCTTATTGTAAATTGCAAGTAGGCTAGAGTGAAAAAATCCGATTATTTTGTTTTTTTTTTCCATACGGAGAACATCAATAATAGAATTAGTATATTCCAAATGACCCTAAATCTATTCATCTCTATAAATTTATGATCAATTTAACCCCTCTTATAAGAGAGGTCGCCTGATACACACGATTAATTCTCTCTTAGCGAACTTCGGTTTGACTTCCTAAACGTAGTCACGTAAGGGATAGTTTATTGTTGTCGTTTTTTTTTAACCAATCGAATTTTAGTAAATTGAAACTAGATGGGTGAATAGATAAGGTTGATGCCACTCTATATCTATACTCTTGTCTAGGTCAGTGGGTGACATATAACCCGCTCTTTTATATCGCTTCCTACTTCCAACTGGAAGTGAATTTTCTTTCTTTTTTTTTTTTATCATCAATATTGTTTAATTTTTGTATGCCTCCATTATAATCTGCCACAATGTGTGGCCTTCCTGCCAAAAAATAATGTTGAAAAGTTTTTTTTTGTTTAGTTTTTAAAATGGATTCGAATTTAGCCCTTGCATTAGGACATTTAATTCATTTTTTTTTTAAGTTTTATAGGGTGCTAGGTATGAAAACTAGACGGGAGAATTGCATATTTTTTTGAAGATTGTAAGCACCGGAATCGAAATTAGAGATCTCTCTCATTCTTTGTGAGTATATAAAACAGTAGACTTATCATTATTAACTGGCGACAAGTTTTGGAACGAGATTTTAATGACAACCATGACTTCTGCCTGCAGTTCTACTACGAAAGATAATATCTAGATGTCTTGTCAGCAGCTTTGTCACATCTGTCATTGTCACCGGTGCGACATCCCGTCACAGTCTTTCGAAAATTGCACTTCATCTCCATCAATCTTATATTACCCTAAACTTTTATTCTGCTTTTAGGAACGTACCTGTACGTACGTTCACATGGTTTGCTGTTTTACGGATCGAAAGGAATTTTGGGCCTCTTACAATAGTGTTGTGTGATGAATATTTAAAAGATGAAATCAGTCATAAAATTGCGAATATCTTAATCTAGTTTTAACATTGTGGGTTATTTTTTTTTATGACGTGAGAGGTGGTTCGTCTACCACAAATTTATAATTTTATATGCTGTGTAGGCCTGTACAGTACATTTATATATATATATATTACACCTTGAATATTTTGGATTTAATTGAAAGAATAAGAATAAAACATTTATTTAGATGTATCCTTGAAAATAATTATACAGAAACTAAATTACGCGAATGTTTTTCGTTTCAAAATGCTTTTATTTTGGAAAAATATATAACTTGAAGGGGGAAATGAAATTTTAAAGCGAGAACCGCTGTTTTCTTCTATATACTGGGTTTTATATATCTCAAGGATATTACTCTTAATTCATCTAATAGGATTAAGGTAGAAATCCGCATTAGGATTCAAGGATATAAGTGATTATGGACAGCGAGTATTCGATTTTGTTTAACGTTACAGAAAAGAAAAATTATTGAAATGGAAAGTAAATTCTCCTGTCCAGACTCTTGCCTGAAGAGTTTCTAAGACATTGTGGAGAATGCCGGAAGATCTGAAACGTCCGAGTAGAAAGATCTTTTCTCATAATGGAACCCCGCCATCCTTTTAAAGCATCTAATCTTAACTAAGAAAATAGAACCCGCCTCCGACACGATTCTCGATTTAAGGGAGGTCTATCCAAGGGTGGACCCGAGACGTTCCAGCATGCTTTCACTTCATTAGACCAACAGCATAATGACAGAGTAGGATCCATGTCTTTTCGTGTACTATCGCCACCCGCACACCCCTACTTTAACTCCTAACTGTATGTCATGGGGTTTAATCTTACTTAATAACCCTAGCTACAGAACAATAAATCAAAAGGCATCGCATCTACAGTTTCGAACTAGTTCTTCCCCATCATTACCTTGTATCCATTTATATCTCTGTATTCACCTCCAATGACACACACACAGACAAGATTTATGATTAGTAATTGAAGTAATCTCTTGTGTCATTGCATAAGAGCACGCGGGGTGCGGACAACCCAGGTTCAGAGATCAACCATAGCTCTAGCACCTTAAATCCGGGAAGAGTAACAATTAAAAGTTTCAAAAGTCGGGGCTGAGAAGGGCGGATTGTTAAAATAAACACAGAAGATTCGTATTTTTTGAACCCGCACCCCCTTATCGCCCGGGAGTATATAATCTTTTTTTTTTTATCTGTTTGCATTGCTATTTTCTACAATGGTTTTTCTTAATAAAAGGTTTCAGTCCCAGGCCTTAATAGTAGAAAACCGTACCGATCCGCATACGGTTACCATAGCCATTCTTATGTTTGCCACCCGATTTACACCCACTATAATCAGTTATATCGCAAGAATTCGCTTATTTCAATGCCGATTTTAAATGTGGTTCTAGCAAAGTGTTAAAAGATAACACGAATAGATTTCTTTGTCTATATTACGAAGCTGAGATACTAACACGAGAAATCGGCATTACATTGAGCTACATTTATGTTCTTGTCTCAAAATAAACCTCTAACATGGAAGAGCATACAGGCTCTTTAAAATAGGCTCCTGTATTGTTTTAAAATATAAAGGTAGAATTACGCTTTTACACAACAAAAGCCTAACTCTAATACGCAAAATTGTATATATTTTAAACACACGAAATTATCTATATAACACACAACACAGGCCTATCTTATATATATATATATATATATATACACAAAGTACTGTACAATATGTATAACACATAGGCTTATATATAGCCTATATAAACACAGTACAAACACACAAGTTCATTGTTAGACAACACTTCTGTTAATAATCTCGAGATTCACATCATTATATGAAATAACGCTTGCGGAAAAAAGACAGACAAACAGACGCTTTAGGTGAATTTCTTCTCCTTAATAACACGAGACACAAAAGTATAATTTGTATTCTCGCGAAATTTTTGTCTGGAGATAAAAGGCCGGCTTAGGTATGACGTGATGTCTGGATAAATGCCGCGCCGCTATTGGCTAGCAGTTTACATCGGGTACCACCCACACTTTAATCTGTTAGTCATTATGGCGATATGATTGTAGGCGGGACTTAAATCGCCATCTTAAAAGCTTATTTCTTTTTTTTAAAATAATAAAAAAAAAGATTAAAATAATTATTTTCGAATAAAAATCTTATAAGGAAATTTTAATTTTAAAAGACAATCTTGCTCCCGATCTCTCTCTCTCTCTCGACTTTTGATTTATCGTATTAAATTTTAATGTTTGTTGTGTAGTATGGGCGTTTTTACGACGCAGTAAACATTGCTGAAAGCGTTTCGACGTAATTTTTGAATATTTTATAACGGTTATTTAATTTTCTCATTCGTTTTTTCGAAATTTGAAACCGCCAATTAGCGACGCTCATTTAAAAATTCAAAAAAGTAACAGTGACATCTTACGGCTGGTAAGAAAATTATTTTTTTTTAAATTTTGTGCCATTTTATTTAATTTATCGTTAGACCTTTATATTAAAATGTATATAGCCTAAATTATATAATCGGCGACATCGTCTCAGTTAGGGCCTTATTTATTAAGTAATTAGTTGACTATATGAATTCCCACTAGAAACATTTTTAAAAGAGTGAATTAATATAAATTTATTCCTTTTATAGCTCCCTTTAAGAACAATTTGGACAATGGTCGTTTGTTAAAATGTTATTAAGGACCAGATACATTAATGACGCAGGCAGCAGCCGAAGCGGAGAGAGCCAACATCTGGTATGAAATGACGTTTAGCAAAGTTAGTGGAAAAATGGGCAAAGATCACGTTATCCGATCACGTGACCGTTCTCAGGTACTTTTCTAAGTTTCACAAAGCCAGTAGATTACTTTTTTTTTATCTTCTTCTTCTCTAAAACTCTCGATACACAATACACTCGATCAATGTCCGAAATTCTTTAAAATATACACAGTTTTTTCCTCATCCGATCCCGGATTAATGGAGAGAGATGCCTCGATGTTCTCGGGTTTTCTGCCCACAAAACACAATTTTGGTGGTGCCCGATTGGGTTTTTTTTTTCTCCTCCCTCCCCATTCACGTCAGACGTTGCAGAGGTAGGAAAATCTGGCTCTAGTCGACTGAGTCACGGTCTTAAATGATTCATAAGGCTGTAGAATGGTTACGATTGCTTTCTTTCGCGATTAGCATACTTCACGGCATCCGATTAGATATGAATTTACACCTCCACGCTAGATAAAACTGCAATTAAACTAAATTCGCGAGTAGTAATTAGTTATGCGCGTGTCCGACTTAAAAAAATGCGCTTCGTCTTTTTTTTTTTTTGTTTTTTTAACCTTTATACAATTATTTCGCCCGGGGAGACGGTTAATGAAGTGCAGAGTATTTCTCCTTTTTTGCTTAGTTTATTGCCAGGTTATCCGGGCTTGTTTATGAGTTGACGCAACTCAACATCATCAATGCAAACGGGAGATGTGCAACAATAAACTTTGTCCTTATCTCGGTAAGTATCGGACACCTGCTAGCATGGGCACGTCAACACACCTTGGTGGAGAGAACATCTTCATTTTAAAGAGAAACCAAGGCCGACCCTAGACTCCGCGATTACAATCGTGATGGATAAATCATAGTGGGCCTTAAGTCCGATTTAATCCTCCGAATTTCTTTTTTTTTTTTTTTTTTTCCTTTTCCTAACCGCGTCAGAAATTCTTACAATTTAATTTAAGGCTTTTCTCTGTTGTAGAGAAGGTTCTGTTTAAAATAGGAGGAGTTTTAAGTGGGTCGTAAACTTTCTTTTACGTAAATTGGTGCTTTTTTTTCCTGTTTTTATCCACGCAAACATGGAAAAAAGTATATATATATAGATNTATATATATATATATAATTTTTAATTGTTTGTAAGTGTAAGTCATACAAATTATTGTATTTAAATTAGTATTTTCTTTTTTTTTTTCTTTCTTTTTTTGATGGTGAGAGAGCAAAAACATCTGGACACCATTCTTTTCAGTACAAATAAGTTAAAAAATAAGAATTTTATTATTATTTTTTTATATTAATGATTCAACTTTAAATAAAAATGGTTTTGGAATATGTTCATCCACCGCCTCACATCATCTATATCTTAAAAAATGTGTACAATACATAGAAAGTATTTTTTTTTATATTAAACATGGTTGGAGAGTTTCAAGTTAATTTGTTTTTATAATTTATTGAAGACAATAAATTTATTTTAGGAATTTTTTTTTCTCCTCTCCTTACAAGAGAATTCACGACAGATAAAGCTAATTAACTGGAAACTTGCTGTAATGTCTCCTACGCAGTTGTATTTTTCGGGCGAGTTGTATAAAGGCCCGATGTTAGGAAGGATAACACACAGTTACATCACTGGACACGTTAGCATTAACATAATTTAAGCGAGCAGACGCGCTCTTTATCGATTGGAAGATGGAAAGAAGATGCGGGTTATGGACCCGGTGCGTTAGGTGCCAACGTTCCACCACACCCATTCTGACTGATTGCCCCCCGAGAGATCATCAATGCAGCTTGATTAGAGCTATTTGCTGTAGAATTTGCATGAATCATTGTAGTGTAGAATGACACAAAACGATCAAAGTTTCATGAAGCGACCGGCACGAAATCAGATCCTTACCTTCCTCCCCTTTTGCTCAAATGTAATTAGAAATTGCTGTCCAGCCCGAATATCCATTCGTCCTTTTTTTTTTAGGGGGTAATTCTTTTAGAAGAGAGTATGTATCTTTTCTTCCTCCTTCGCCATCGCTAAATATTGATGAAGAGGAGTTCCTCCCTTTGTCTGATTATTGAATAAAATCGTTAGAATTACTTCAGTCTCGCGTTTAAAAAATTTTTTAAATCTTGATGAAATTTTTTTTACTATTCGAAGGGTTTTAAGCTTGGGTAAAATTCTGTCGCAAGTTTATTCATTGAATTTTTTTTTTGTATTTAAAAAATGATAATCGATGGAGTGACTCATATAAATTTCGCTGAGTTTCTCTGCATTTTTGTATTGTTCGTTAGATAAGATTTCCAGTTGAATATTTAATTCTGACAACAGATCTTTATTACATGGTTTTTGTTTATGGTCGTATGATACAGAAGATTAAAAAAATTCACAAAACTTACGAACTATAAAGCGGAAAATTCGGAGAAAAAACAAGTTTCTTACTCGGAACTGCATTAAATTTTCAACTATTCTTCGCTCCTGGAAAACTTTAAGAAGACATTCGAATTGAAACAGTACATTTGATTTAAATATAACTAAATGTTGAATCACGCACATACACAAACGCACAGTAATTTTTTTTTTTTCCTCCTCTGCCAGAGTAAAGTTTGTTGGTGCATCCATCAAACCAACAGACTTGGTCCAAACTTGTTGTCTACTTACCAGAGAATCACGCACTTCTTGTGCTGTTAAGTGAATAACGTTTACAATCACACGGGTGTCCGAAGCTTGTCTCTCTACACGTTACATCACGTGCTTCGCTTCTACTCCAGCTCCTCCTCTTCCAATTCTATCAGGAGAACCTTCGGTTAATCACAAAAATCCATCTAGAAGACTTTTAATATTCTGTTAGAATGCTGCGTGGGGGTATCGGGTAGCGCAACTTCGTCTACTTACTGGGAAGAATGGGAGAAAATGCATTCAATCAAGGACGGTTCAATGAAGCAGACAGATAAGAGTTTGTACGCGATGTGACAAGATGGCGAGAAACGTCACATTTGGTTTTTTTTTCTGCTCAGCCAGTCGCTATCTGTCAAGATAGACATCAAATGCCAATTTTGCATTCATCGTGAAGGATAGCGGGTTACTAATTGGAAAAGAGCATGGTCGAGGAACAGATTAAAACCCTAGAAGAATCGTCACGATTCAGTTTTCTGAAGCGGAACCTACCGTGCAGTCTTTCGGTATAGCTATACGAGTATAAACATACATTTTATATAAATATAGTGACGTTTTAGCGACCCGACAAAGCGGGGAGTTAAATCTAGAGTAGCCTCAAGTTACTGTTTTTCCGTTCCGGAGAGTTCGTCGGAGCTTGTCTAATTTACTAGAATTAGTTCGAGTAAGTAAATAGCCACGTGGCTTATGTGGAACACCGGTAAAAGGTCGTCACCCCTGTTAAAGAGAGAGCACTTTTATACAGAAAATTCAGGTAGATACGCAAGTACAGTACTATAGTTTCCCCGATATAGGAGCACTGTTGCAGCGGGTGCAATGTCTGAAGCGAAAGAAAGGGCTCCACCAATCAATAGCTCATGTAGCTGGTAATGTCAGCCCGGTACCTCCCCATGCCAGCACGAAACCCGACCATTAGCACAGCAGAGTCAAAAGACTCCATCATACTTTGCCACATCCCATATTATAAGTAGAATACCGCCGCTACTTGTTAGAGTTTTACCAAGAGGGACCTTGAAATCCACAATCTAATCACTCGCCTAAGTAATTAGGTACTGTACGAGGAGAAGACACCGCTTCGAAGCTACCAATTCTGGAGGAGTCCTCCAGAGATCTGTCAAGCTCTGAGTGACCCTTGTTGCAAGGCCTTCAGAGCAAGTGTTATCAGCTTTCGAGTAGAAGATCCAGATACATAGAATGTAAGAGAATGGAGAACACGTATTTACACATTTATCGCACGAAAGGCTGTTAAAGTTGATTGAACGTGACCGGAATCAGAATCAAGCACCTTTATTCCGAACAGCTGCCCATTTTCCCAACTGTAGTTGTTTAATATCCGGAATAAACGTTTTATCGAACGATTAAACGTCGAGATGTAGCAATTTTACATGATGAAAATCCCCCTTTTTTTATAGCCTCCGACGCGTATTATCGGGTTGCAGGAAAAAAAACGCGGAGAATGACGTAACGGCATCGCTAATTTTCGTAAAGAGAATCGCTTTCGGAAAAATATTCTCGGAAGAAACTTTTAAGGCCATTCGGAGCGCGCGACACGGTTCGTGCCCATTTCTGTATTGCCATCTACCGGATGGAAATGATTCTAAAATAATTTTTTTTACTACCGCCATCTAGTGTTTATAAATTAAATGATTATATTCGAAATTTTAATACAATAAAGTGATAATGACCGGGTTTTAAAACATTTAAACGTATTAAAATTAATCTAAAATTTTCTTAAATCTATAATGGTAGTTTATTTTACCCTCCAAAAAAAAATTAATTAATTAATAATAAATCATATCATATCAATCACAAGTCTATTCTAAAAATTTTTATTATGATTTTTAATCAATATTCAACTGGTTATACATTTAACTTCACAGAAAACTTTTTAAAAAATCTTATATTTTGTTTTTAATTGTTTGCACATAACTTCCATCTTTTTATATGTTACCATCAACAAATTCTATAACTTGTATTTTACTTGTTACAATTAAAATGCACACCTGAGGAACCTGATAAATCCTAAACAGATATTGGAATAGCTTGGCCATAAATGAAGAAAAGTCTGGAAAAAAATTAAATCATAATTTAAAGTTCTCTCTACAAATGTTCCAATTCAAGCACCTTAAAATTGAACTTTGTATATTTAATTTAAATTCAAGAGATGATTACTATTTTCTGTATAGTAAATTGTAGTGCCAAAATAAGAGACTGGGGATTTAATCCTCAAACTTTTGTATAATGTTTACACAAATGTCCAGAAGTTCAATGAAATGAGAGGTGATTATGATTACTTCCAGTATATTTCATGTTTAGTTGGCCTGTGAATTATTATTATTATATATATATTTATTTATTTATTTGTTTTGTTTTAATGGTGGATAGACTGGATAGCATTTAGCAGGATGAATACGTTCAATAAAAAGGACTATCGCACCTGAAATGGAAGCTTTTGATCGATGCATCCTTCTAGTACTAATGTATTGTTGCAAGACCTGGAACTTAACAAAGAAAATCAAAGAGAAGCTAGAATCAACAGTCCTACGTGGAGCAAATCATCCTTGGAACAACATTGAAAGACCGAAATACAAACCAACGGATAAGAATAAAAACCCACTAATTGACATTATCACTTATATCCAAAAAAGAAAACTGAACTTGGGCTAAACATAATATAAGAGATGGTGATAGCAGATAGTCATGCACGGTCATGGAATGGAGATTTATGGATGGTAGCTATGGAAGAGAATGCCCAGAAGGAAATGGAGAGATAAAATTGTATCTACTGCCAGAAAGAGTGGATGCAAATGGCAAAATATAGAAGTGATTGGAAACTTTTGGGTGAAGACTTTTGTCCTCAAGGACTGAACACAGTTGTAAAAGAAAAAAAAAATTTGTTTTAAATATATACACAGTTTGTCTTATAAAGTGCAAAATCTAACATACTTGTGCATTCATCAGGATACATCAGCAGTGTTCATATTACACACACCATCATCATCATCAAAGATACTGTTTTGGCTACCTTTTTTTGAGTCACCCTGTATTTGCTATCATTTGTCAATTAAATATTTGTACTTTGTTACATACTTCAAAGTTTATCTAATTTTATCTTAAGGATTGGATTGATGAGATAAAGCAACACAACACATGGACTATCTATCAAAGAAAAGGGGGTGGATCCCAGGAGTGTTTTATAATGAATACTTGCCCCTATTCAGATGTTTAAGCCCTATAAAAGTGGGTTCCAAAAAGTCCAATATTGCCAAACCTGCTTGCATACAAGGTAAATAAATGTTAAATTTAA